TGTATTCCAAATGTAACTGTTACAGACAATCACGTGTATTCCAAATGTAACTATTACAGATAAACACGTGTATTCAAAGCTTACTTTTTATAGACAAGTAGATGTATTCCAAATGTAACTGTTACAGACAAGCACGTGTATTCCAAATGTAACTATCACAGATAAACACGTGTATTCAAAGCTTAATTTTTATAGACAAGTAGATGTATTCCAAATGTAACTGTTACAGACAAGCACGTGTATTCCAAATGTAACTATTACAGATAAACACGTGTATTCAAAGCTTAATTTTTATAGACAAATAGATGTATTCCAAATGTAACTATTACAGATAAACACGTGTATTCAAAGCTTAATTTTTATAGACAAATAGATGTATTCCAAATGTAACTGTTACAGACAAGCACGTGTATTCCAAATGTAACTATCACAGATAAACACGTGTATTCCAAATGTAACTATTACAGATAAACACGTGTATTTAAAGCTTACTTTTTATAGACAAGTAGATGTATTCCAAATGTAACTGTTACAGATAAACACGTGTATTTCCAGATTAACAATGCTTATACTCTTCATTCTTTGTTACATTTAACTATGTGTATATGTAACTATATGTAATTCAGAACTATTCTGATAACAACAAACATAACAAGGAAAGCTTCTCTCTAAGTTAAGTACATTTCTAATCAATTTATTATCATCTTGAAAGATTAACTTTTTTTACCCGGACAAGTATTACATTTTTCTTCTTAAGTCATTTTATTTATTTATTTATTTTCGTGTGTGAAAATGTTTCAAAAGTTTGTTTTAAAACTAAATGAATCAGGGCGTAGCCTACAGATTGTTCGTTGTCTGTAGTACTATTAGGTCACACCTGAGTTAAAAATGGATCTTATTTATCAGCTCCCTTATCTCTAGTCTACCAAGTTCAAAATTTGGGTCGGCTATGTGCAGATAGCCCTTTGTGTAGCTTTGCACGAAAAGTCTAAAACAAACAAAAGTAAGTTAAATGACCAATAACATTTTAATGGAAGAGTGTATAACTTAAAAAAACATGATTACATAGATTATATTTGTCAGCAAGAGAAAGTATACTCTTCTACAAAGTTTTCAGTATGAACTTATCCAGCCAGATGTTACCTTGGTGATTATGACGTGAAGACATTAGGCCTAACGACAAAAATAGGGATAGACAGTTTACTGCAATCTAGATTCTAATAAGTACAGCATGTTGCATGAATTAGGGCGACATCTACATTTTGAACCTACATTTGTATAATGCAGACGCTTTGAAGTCATATTTAAATGTTTGATGAGTCTTCTAGCAACAAGAAAAGTAACGCCTTGAAGTAGGAATCAAATGTTTGAAGTCTCCTAGCAACAAGAAAAGTAATGCTTGGTAGTCATGCTAGAGTTTTTGAAGTGTTTTCTAGCAACAATAAAATA